TGGTGTGAGGTCCTGTTCCGGGAACAGTGTTCTTGAGTTGTGTTTACGCCGTTCGAGCGCGAGCACAAGAAAGCCGTGTCAAGAACAGGTCGACCATAGTGGCAAAATACTCCCCGGTGCAAAATCTCTGCAGCACAACCGCTGTCGTTTAAGTTATTTGCATGCTGTATTTGGCAGAGTTTGCAATTAAGTTACCCATTTATATGCCGCCACCACATCACAGCGCTCTCAGTCAAAAGAGGGCGCCTCCATTCCGGCAACAAGGAAGTTTTACCAGTGGAGGGCGCTGTAATTGCTGTAGTTGGGCATAGTTATGTGGAGCATACAGGATACTGTCGTAGGCACAACAACAAATACTTCTCAAGAAAATCCTTAGTTAAACATGCACATCAAATTTCTTTGCAATATTTGCTAACTTAACTGATGACTATTGCAGATATTTCCATCAACATTATCATGAAGTCTCTCGCCATTTTGAAAACGGATGCCTACATTCCGTCGCAACATAGAACCATTTGGAAGGCTCCATTTTTCTTTAAAATTTCTCAGACATACAAGCCAGCAGTGGTTTCCATCCTTTGTTAAAACAAAATAAAACAAAATAAAACAAAACAAAATCCTATATAATCCTATCAAAATGTTCTCTTAACAGAGAACTTGAGGGCATGAAAGTTGTGATTTGGCCCGCAACTAAGCGTATTGGTCTGCAACTAGTCTGCAGAGGATCATTTATTCAGAATGACATTCATGACTATAAGTTGTAATAATATTTGGTGTGGATCTTGAAATTGGGCTTTTTTTGAAAGGCAATCTTGAGAAAATATGATTTATGCCTGCAATTGAAGTTTCAGTTTTAAATCATTTAGTATTGGGTGACCTATAAGACGAACACATTTTCCCAGAGAGACGCAGTTACATAACTTTCATTTCGCATGAATTGGCCTGAATATCAAGATCATTTCTATTTGCGTTTGTATGGGAAGTGCGCATGCAAAAAGGTCATTTTCACTCTAACGCTTGATGCATGGCCGTCGCAGGAGCCTTGAAATTTGCAACATATAAAAATGGGGGGGGGGAAGTAAGCGAAACAAAAGGGGAAAGGAAGAAAGGAGACGAAAATCACAACTTTGCTGGACACTATCTGGGAAGGACCCCCCTCCCACCGTGAATGGTTTCTCAGTTTGTTTAACCCCCCCCCCGAAAGAATATGGTAAGGCTCTTGGGTTTGCGTGCTCCAAAATTAGGATGTGGGAATGGGTTTCTGCCGTTGTTCCTCAATGTATCCTGTTCAGGTTATATGTACCATCAATGGTAGGATAACTGAGCGCCCCCCCCTGCAGCAAACTATTTACAACGTGCGTTTCCTCTGTTTTTCGCCTGTACTGTTGATCTATATATCAGTGCTTGTAAACATGTGAACTCGATCTTGCAGCTAAAACGCTCATTCCGGAAAGAGTACTGCAACTCCTGTAGACAGGGAAGTGATCATAACAAAACAGAAACCAGATACAGAACACCCGTGTTACTATTAGTGGAATTTAACTGCCTAGTGACCCTCCCGTATCTCGTGTTGCATTTATCTTGATACATCTATTAGGCCTACATAAAAAGAATAAACACGATGAAATCGAGTTTCAAGTTGTGGGATAAGGGGAACCTTCTTTTAAGAATTTCCTTAAATATTGGCAATAGATTGAAGTGAATAGAAGATTTAAGAGTTGAAAGACCTCATTTCGATCGTGGCATCATTTTTCTTGAAGGATGATCATTTATTCAAAAGTGAGCGGAATCCGCCCTTGTGCACTCGGTACACTTGCAGTCAGGTGCTCTGATCTCGTTGCAGTGTTGTTTGGGTCGAGCCTTCATTCTTTTCTGATGTCTTGCAATCATACTGACGCAATTTTTTTGAAAATCAGACGACTCATGTTCCTAATGAATTGTGTTCAATGCGCATCGGCCGACGCGCGTGAGTGATTAAAAACAACACTCTGTCAACTGAATCGAAACTTCACAGATGAACTGTTAATTAGTGTCTGCATGCGTAACGGGATTCAACAAGATCGGCCCGGGAAAAACGTCTAGAAAACCCGGCTCTCTTTGGGTTAAACAAGGATTTTCCAAGTTTAAGAAAAATTTTGAAGAGACAAAATACCCCTGTCATTTTAACTGTAGCCTAACTATAGGATTCTTCACCGTTCCACAACGTTCCAACTGATCCCAGTAGCTTCTCTTACTGTTGCCTCACCCATTTGGTCAACTACAAGCGTTTTTCCTATGACGATAACTTCACCACAGTCCCCGGACCTATGATAATTCATCACGTCCATATTTGAAGGTACAATGCTGACCCCAATTCCCAACCCCTCGAGCCCCCCCTACTTGCTCTGGGGTGAAGGACAGTCAATGAACTTGTGCGAAGTAATTAGATGCACATTTTTAAGAATAATATGTACATTTTAAATTGTAATTTACAGGTCAGTATGTCTTCGGTCCTTGATTTATTGTTTGCTACGTTCGGAAGTGACAGTTGAACTTACAGTGAATTCTATGATAAAGTGGAATTAGTCTGATCGATCCAATACAAATATGTTTTGGTTTTCTGTTTGTTTGTTTGTTTGTTTGTTTGTTTTAATTGTTTGCTTGTTTTGTTGTGTGTTTGTGTTCATTTACATAAGAGTTTGTGCACATTTAATAGTTCGATGGGCGCTAGAGTGACACGGTAATGTCCACTGTACACTCACGGATCTAGGATTTTTCGAAGGTCATGGCAGGTGTTCTGGTTGCAAGAATAATGGCGCTCTATAGGCCGCATTTTGTGAGGAATTTCCCTTTGCAATTCCGTACACCAGATAAGTGGCTTGCAGTCCGAACAAAATGAGGTTTGTTATCATGCCCACCCCATTCAAAATCGATATTGCTGGCTTACGTTGGCACATCAATTTTTTTAGGATTTTTTATTCACCTTTACGAAAGGCTTTCATTGAACTTGCAATGACCCCTTGTGCATGATGACCATGCCGTCTACACGTGGACACAGACAGCAGAAGGCCTGCTGGGCATCGCAAGGCCAACATGCGGGGTCCAGCTGGTCAGTAAATTCCTTCTTGATACTTTACCATCGCCACTCGCCTCATTTCCCATCACACTGAGGCTAAATCTGTGTTGATATCACGACTGGCTTGTCTGGCGATTAAATATGCTTAAATAATTGGGCTATCATTTAAAATGCGAGCGAACCGCATGACACACGACCTCGGGCGGATTGGTGGCTTGTAGATCAGGCCACTGTGATCGAAGGAAGTGAGGCTTGGCTGTGTGCCCAGAATTTTGCCGGTTGCGTGGGCGAGCGTAGTAAAAATGTTGCCTCTCGACAGTATATTTTTCAACGCGTAGATAGCATTTAAAATGTTGTTTACGCCCTTTTTGCCATATAATCCCATGTATGTCGGTGCGCTGAGAATTTTTTTCCAAAGAAAAGGACGGAAAAATGCAATCGGCTAGTCGAGACAGATGGTCAAATGGTCAGCATTCCTACCTCCATGCTTCAAGAGACTACACCACTTGGTTTAGTTTAGCCATCGTGTATAGTCAAACAAATAATCTTTCAATCAAAAATCCCTCGTATTATGAAATCCACTGCATGACCAGGCATATCGTTATGGTTGAATAACACTGCCTGGGAATTAGCTGCCTAATTGACGAATTCATTGATGATGAATTGAAAAGAATGAAAGCCTACGGATTTGCCTTCGATTTAAAGCTAGAATGAAAATTAATGTCAAGTTACTAAATTCAGTCACACTGCACTTTAGGGACATGTGATTCTACCTCCATGATCATACACAGTTTGACGACTAAATGCATATTGGTTGAAATAGAATTAGGCCCCTGTCATATTATGTTGAACAGAAACATGACTTTTGAAAGGTAATTCCATTTTGCACGCTAATGAATGCTTCTTTTACTAATGTATATACCCATTTCCCAAAACTGTCAAGGAAAAAATATAGTTCTAGGTTAGTATTGAAAAAAAAAGACCCAGCAGAGAGAAACATAAATTATTTTCTTGTGGGCGCCCGTCTCCCGCGCTATCACCATCTACGCGTTCTTTGGCACAGCGTCATTCATTCATAATTATTGTTTTGGGCGTGAACGTGTGTTTGTATACAAACCACGAGTCCTAGCGCGCTATAGCGCGTATTCACGTGCCCATAACACACAATCCTGCTTCTGATTCGGACCGCGTGCGCGTATTTCCACGCAGCAAATGTTCGTATTTTTACAAATATCTGTGTCTGCAATTCCGTAAGGTGGAAGATTTTCTAGTCGGGCGACATTGCAAGCCTGTCTGCTAGATCTTTCTCTGTTGCCATCGAAATAGATGACCCAAGGAAATCGGACCATCTTGGACTGTGCATGTGTGAAGTAGTATAACTCGTCAACACACGCGCAAAACGAAGAGCGCCCCACAGTAATAGAGAACATTGAGAACATTGAACGTTACATAAAAGAAACCTTGAAGATGGAGGCGTACGGTGGAAAGGGGTTCCTTCGGATTGTCGTAGTCCTAGTTGCCGTTACCTTACACGTGAGTATGGCCAGTTGATTTGTAGGCTTCAGTGCACACAGTTAGTAGACTTCCAATGTACACTACATATACATGTAGGCCTAGTCACTTTTTTTGTACGCGTGCGTGTGGCATGCATAGTGCATGGCTACATCATGGCATATCTTGAGCTGAGGAGAATCTGACAATTGTTGCCCCGTTTAAATACTAAATATTGTGGAAAGAGTTCCACGTTATACGGACAACACTTGATGCCCCTGGCTCTGTGCACAAACCAGTATGAGGCTTGTCTGAAAAAAAACTTAGGCCTTCGGAATTTTCTGAGCTAAATTTCATTTTGTGGTGGCTGTTGTAACATTTTGTAAAAATTTTAATTCTCAAAATTCATAATTTCAGTGTTTACTGTTTGTTCTTTGGAGATGGAAGGGACTGACTATCAATAAAGTCTAAAACTATAGAAGACCTTAAAAGTATTATGGTTTTTTGGGGGGGGCTTATATGACGCATTCCTGGAACTTAGCCAGCCAGGAGGATTGCTTTGTGTCGCAGGCATGGCGGGACAGCCTACGCCTTGAATGTGAAAATCGTAATAGTTTTAGGTCGCGGCATTCATTTTCCCTTGCCGGTCCAGCGACTGCACACATTTCTGTACACAGCTTACAATGTACATGTACGGTACATGTACATGTGTACAGCCGAAACTCATTAGTATGCAAGTCAACCAGAACCGCTGTAGCCTGTTTGTATGCGAAACCGCCTGAAATATTTCAAGGACTTGTACCTGGAAAGAGAAACTGTTGAGCCATCACCGCCAGGCATTGTTTGCGGTTTGCCATTATGTAACGTGGACCTGATGAAATCACTGTATTCATGCAAGGCAGCCATCCAGTACCCCCAGAACTGTGGGGGCCGCTCCGCTCACGGTCAGGCCCCATAGTTCTGGGGTAGGCATCCAGCAGGTGCTAATTGATGTATCCTGAAGTTGTCTTGAAATTTCCTGGAAGTGTTTTTGTTTCCGGCGGTGTGATATTTGTATTGTATAAACATACAGCAAGGAACAGAGAACAACCATAATTTTGAGCCATTCACATTTGAGTTCAGTCTCTGAAGCCATTATTTCGATTGCAACCATTTAATGTAAACTACTGACAGAAATAAAGATAACGTGTATAAATCTGCGCCTCAAAACGTTTCCTGTACCAGTGATTCCCCACTTCAACCCCAATTTGTGTAAGAATGTGAAGGGAATGGTAACTTCGCATGCCCGTACTGCCTGTTAATTTATAATCAACTTAGTTACTTGTATCGACACGGCTCATGAATCGCATTAGAGCAACAATTTGCCGTATGGCACCACAGCCACGATCTTTGGATCTTCATCCGAACTGTGATCCGGAATCTTGAAAAGAGGTCATCACTTTAAAGGCGAAGTGGTTTATCAATAAAGCGTCTTTCCGAGTCGCGCAAAAATTCAAACGGCTGCAGTACGTCGCGGCCAAGAAATCATCTCATTAGAAACATGATCCCCTCGCATCTCAACGTGCGCTACCCTTGATCGTTGTCGGGGATCGCCCGAACATGTCTTGCACCATTCCTTAAAACATGGAGCTATGCTTAAAATCAGGTCCTATCTGAAAACTCGAGTAAGCCATGCAGCTTTTTTATTACCGCAGATATCGTTAATTGAAATAAAGTGAAATCAGGGCCCTAAAAAGTATGCAATTTTCCATGCATTCTTACTATTTAGCACACGGCATCTGGGTCATAAAGGAAAGTTACGGGTATCTATATCAATCAGTGCAAGTGACTTGACTAAGTTGAGACGATGTTAGCCTACTAAGCGCAGCCACAGCGATGTTACTCCACAGCGATGGTTCTTTTGTGAAGCAAAACAAGACATGACTTGGCACTTAGCCGAGCAAAACTGCCATAATTGGACTTTCTTTTTGTTTGGTCCGTTAACGCTCAGCACAAGTCTTTACCCACAGCATGGGTCACTGTGTGGGGGCGGTCAGTTGGTTCCTGTGAGACTGTCTTCAATCCAAGAAAAAATACGCCCACTCTACATCATTGAGCAAGTATACGTGCGCGAAGCACGGAGTAAGCGTTGGCAGAGCAAAATTGTGTCGTCTTTGTTTACTTGCTCGCCTTTTTTCCGGGGAGGGGGGCAAAAAGGGGGGGGGGGAAACTTCAGGAGGCATCCCTGAAGTATGCTATATAAATGGTCATTTCTCGTTCACTGACCAGTAACCTTTATGTTGAGGTGCTTGCGGGAACCAACGGAAATGTGTGGACACAAGTGCCCCCCCCCTCCCCGCCCACCCCTTCCTTGACTGTCATGCCGTGTCGATTTCTCTCGTGATGATAAAACACAACTTCCTGAGAAAGGTGAACTTCTTGGAAAAAACACCCGTACGGTCACTGTGGCCTGACGTTCCCAAACGAGGGGAAAGCGGGTCTTTTTCTTTGTTTTGACCCTCTAATGGGGGGGGGGGGTAACACTTTTTTCCACTTGAGTAAAGCGGGCAACCTGGAAAAGGATTTTTGCGTTCTGATCGGACACACCCAGCTTCAGTTCGAGCTTGTTGCTTGACTGGCGCCATATTGGCCATACAATTTAGCCAGGTTGATAAGACACATCGAAACGGGAAAAGGCTCCATAATATCTGCGCAGAATACTTGCTTGTTCGCATTATTTTGGCCCTTTTCACGTCGACTTGTTTATGTGTCCTCACAGATAAACTGAAAGATGACGTTTCAAACTGTTATCAAACTTGTTTTTTGTGTGTGTGTTGCTTCTTTTTGATAAGATACAGTGCACGTGGGTTCATCCAGGGTTTGTTATTTGTAGTAAATCCAATACAGGCCTCTGTTACCACAGCTTGTTATTGAGGGACAATCTGAAATTCACATCGTTTTCAGGCAGGCTTATTTTCGGGCACGGTCCCTTATTAAGCATGCTCAGACAGCGCCTCATGTGAGACAGAATATTCCAGGGAGGAAATCATGACATGCTCTGCATGTGAAGCGTGCAGTCTTTGCGGACGGTGCGTTCCACTTTGCCGTCGGACATTCCAAATATATCTGCATTCGATTTGAAAATGTAATGAACGGGTTTGTTATCTGTGTTATCAGTAGCCATGCAAACGCAAGGGCCAAAATGTCAGGGCTGCTCTTCGTACAAACGTTTTAAATGTAAATCTCAAATCGCTGGATATTTCTAATAAAGATGTTGAGTTAATGTCATTGCACTGTCAGTTGCTTAACGTATCAAATTTCAGCCTCAAAACGGTTTTGCGAAAATGTGAAGGATATTTTTTAGTCTTAAGTCGTAAAAACTGAGGTAAAATAACACAAAAACGTTTTCTTTATTTCCATTTTTTAAATTGTTATTATAGAGTGCACAGCTCTAATTACGATCCATCTAGATTTATCTAAGGCGTGAATTCAACCAATTTATCGGTTTTGGTTTTTTGTTTTGTTTTCCTGTTTCTTCCTAATTACCAAAAGATACAAGAGATGATCCGCGAGGAAGCAAACACCACGTCGAGGTTTGCTTTGGTTTTCACTTCGCGTGGTTGTCCTGACTTCCATTTTAAAAGCAATAAATTCAGAATGGACAGTTTTCAAAGAACAGACGTCTGCGCTATGTCTTTTAGTTTCTGTGACTGGAATTTTTTTTTTGCTTTTACTTTCCATCTCATACGAATAGCTTGTCTGTCTTTTTAATAAATAAATTTACGCTGCAAAACCATTGTTATTCTTTATTCTGTACTTTAACATTTTGTATCCCTAGTTTATTTTCTTGTTTGTTTAGAATTCATCTCAAACAAAATATTTCGTTACCTCGGGATTTTCCACACCACAGACATAGTTTCCTTATAAACATATATGGTTGTTGCATCATTTTGTGGATATGGCAGACACTCGACTTCTAACCATAAGGAAACCGGACGGAAGTTGTATAACTGGACCTAATTCCAACAATGAAGATTTTCCGTTTGCCACACAATCCTCTTCCTCGATCTCGTCCAGTGAGGACATGTCTTTGTGATAATGCATATTGTAAGCAGAGAATATTGCTCCCTGTGACTGGTTGAATAGTAGCCAGTCCGGCCATCTCCACACACGTGGAGTTTATAAGGTTACAATCAGCAATTTTCTATCAAGCAAAAAGTTCCAACATTCGGCAACAATAGGTTATGATGCTAATGATTTGGCACTTTTTCCTTGCGCTACATCACGGCACCTGTTCACATTTTTTGAGTAATCCTCTGAAGATTGCTAAAATCTATGAAAGACATCTTTAAAGTTAAAACAACGAAAACGTCTTTGTTCTGGATCCAGGCGTCGCTTCCAGTGAAATAACCAGGAATTACATAGGGTCAAGGTTGAAGACAACATTAATAGGCTGAAATATATTCAATTTATGCAGATTATCGGGAAAACACCCCGCGAGAGGACCATCGATACGCAGCGCGGCGTTACTGAATTTCAAAACAGGCACCTTGTGTCGTGTTGATGTCCGCAAAGGGTGCAATATCGATTCCTAAATAAATCATATTGAAATTGGAGGATTGAAGGCTGTCAGGGTTCAAAGATTCTGCATGTATCACTGCAAAGATTATTCCTGAAATGTGAACCTAGTATCTGCGAGGAATTTGAACATGAAATCCAAAACAGTTGTTTGGAGGTTGATAAATAATGCATATTTACGGTATGCATTCCCATTGCCTCGTCTCTTATCGCCAGCGACCATGAGGGTTTGCATATTTATCTAGCCTTGGACCCCTGCGTTTGTCGGTGTTTTTCGTTCGGGTCACTTAGTTAGCCCTCTTGATAGTCGAGGGACAAGGAGGGGATTTGTGGTAAATAATCTGGTGTTGAAATGTTGCAAATTCAAACAATGCTGGCACCCACTAGTATACAAAAGGGCAGGGAGTCGATGAATGTGCTCTGCTTTTAACACCTAGACTAATAAGATCAATCAACTGTACGTGTACTTGCCAAAATCTCGATGGCTATGTACATGTACAATACCGAGAGGTTCTTACCTCCAGCAATCACGCAAGTACAGGTGCATTGCCGGGGTTTTGTTTGCAAATGTCCAAAGAGTATTCGTTCCGTTTAGGTTGAATTACTAATTAGCTTATGAAGACACTACATGTATTGTTTAGTCTATTGTCGCTTTTGGAACTTTTTGCAACTTAGTATTCAGTGCTTTTATAATCTGTTTTCACCATCCAGATTTCGCTCCTGTAGCATCAGCGCCAGTGTTCCAATTTTGCTTTTAAAATGTCCACCCCGTAAACGATGTATTATTTCACTCCACTCTCTGCCCCCGTGCTATCAAGCAGACGCCTTTCCCTTGGCCAACTCCGTCACGTTGTTGTCAACTGATAAGGGCTGCATAACGGGGGTGAAACTTCAGTTTAGGAAAAATGAAACCTCGTTTCTTGAAATACACAGGAACTTACCTGGTTCACTGACTTCCAAGAACAGTCCCATTTTGCATAAAACTATCGCTCTTTTGATCATAGAGCTGATGAAATGAAATATCGCTTTATTTGCTTTGCGGTACGTGCATTTCCTGTACCCCACAGTGCGTAACCTTATTACACCTATGTCTGCGCCAGAATTTGTTGGTCTTCATATCTTTTCCACAAAATTTTTTTTGGAGTTTTCAAGCTTTTGCTTTTCTTTTACCAAGTTTGACCTGTACCATGCAACATTTTGTGGATGTAATGAGACAGGCACCCGGTCATTTGTAAACTGTTTGTATCGACAAGTTCGTAAACTGAGACTTACTTAACAGCAGCCCTTACTTATTTGTCACTAAATATTTGTTATCCATCAGACAGCAGCCCTTACTTATTTGTCACTAAATATTTGTTATCCATCAGTATCAGAGTTAACTTTTACGCTGTACTGACTACCTTCACTAAATTGTTGATCAATATCCCGGGATGTTTTGCACCCAAATTGCAAAATCCGCCTGATGAAAAGGCGTTGGAAGGAATGCCACACTTTAGCTGGCTTTTTGCCAGGATTGTAGCTAGCCGATCGCGGCCACTGCTTTGTACTATCTGCCCACATTTTCGACCCCCCCCCAAAAAAAATCACGTGGTAGATTCTTATATATATGTTTATTCAGTTCCGAAAAACTTAAAGTATAGCTGCAATGAATTTTGATTGAAATGCACTGAAAAGTGTATGATTTTAAACAATTAAACTTATCCATGGAACTGAGGGCGCTGTTGCTGTGACATCCAGGGAAGACATGGTTCAGGGCATAGGTGTTTCTGTTCAAATTGTGAACCCAGAATTTACCTCCTTAAAACATTTCTGAGAGAGGGATTGGCATTTTCTTGTTGCTATGCACATGAACAATATTGAATCAGCAAAGAAGAGAAAACTGAGACCAGGAAAACCTACAAAAGTGCAGAACTTTTTTGTGTACAAACCAATGTTACATTGAAGCTTCTTCCTGAGGTGGCATCACAGTTTTGCTCATGAATATAGAAAGCTTATTAGCCTAAAAGCAAAAAAAGGCCTTAAAATACCCTTTGAAATAATGAAACAGAAGTTGAAAATGGGTTAACTGAGGCAGTAATGTGCATTTTAGAGGTTTGAAATCACAAAGTCTATTACAGCCACCCTTTAATCGGCCACTGAAAGCACAGAGAGAGAGTAGTGCTGCATTTAGCGGTGTGTCCACTATCCATGCAGCTCTAGGTTCAGGGGGGAGGGGGGATTAAATGCAAATGCGGCTTCGGGCTCATTCAGCATGATGTTGGAGGAGAAAACTCAAACCCAAAAGAGAACTCAAAAGCCTTAATCACAGTCCCCACACCCTTGTCTTTGTTAGCTGGTATTGTTTTCTTAGGGTTTTGGTGCAAATTTTTGATAAATAAATATTCAGATTACTTTCTTTCCTACTCACCTATGGAGAATTCCTTGTAAAAACAATGTCCGTGGGGGGCAGCCAGTTATGCATCCAGTTGTTCCCCCCCCACTGGATGCACCATTGGCTGCATTACTAAATAATTTGCCAGCTGTATTTTGTGTTGCAAGTTGATATGAATCGAAGTATGAGATACTAATTCTAAATAGGAGGAGGAAAGAACTTGTAATAATGAACAGCAAAATGGAGTAAAATAGCTCAGAAATATGGGACATGATTTTTCTGACTAAAAGTTGTTCTCTACACAAAAGACGACGTGCGTACGCATATTCTTCTTGCTTCGAGTTAAAGACAACAGTGTTTATTTAGTTAACACAAGATGCCGCCCCTTTTGAAATATTGTTTTGGCAATTATTGCAAAGCACCGAATTTCTTGATTTAAAATACGACTTGAGTCGATCCTGTTGATGCTCCTGCAGGTGAGGGATGTCTCGGTGGATGCATCCGTGTCGTTTGCCCTGAAGCTTCATTCCTACAGTAATCCCTCCAATCGGGAATCAGACGGGGACTGTTGCGACAACCTCTGGGGGAGTTGCTCCAATAAGTGCGACAACAGATTCATTATATGTCTGCACCGACAGGATTCGTAAGTTACATGCACCTGCCCATTCAGAATCCTCCCTTTCACCACTGTCAGAAGTCCCTGTTAACCACCCTAGAAATGTTGTGGGAAAACTGCATCCTGCATTATTTTCCATCCCGTAGCTAAAATTACAGTGGCGTGACTGAGTTGAGAGGAAATGTTATACGATAAATTTTTTCCTGTTGTTGCTGGTACTTTTCAAATATGGTTGCAGAAGTTTTTTTTGTTTTTGGTTTTGTTTTGCCTTCTTTTGTCTTCAAAACATTCAACCCATCACTCCTAACCATCCTGAGGTATCGCCCCTACATAACGGTAATCAATCAGGATTGGGTGTGGGTTTTTTTTATCCTAGTTTTCCTTTCTTTTTGCTTCCTCATACACTCGTACACCATTTGGAATTCCTTGGGAGAATAGCATGTTACAACCAAATAATGGCCACTTTTTTCTTGTTAACAGGAGTAAACACATCAATTAATGAGCAGTTTGTTTGATGCCTGGAAAAGGGTTTTTCTTAGGAAATTGACAGAGCTCGGAAATACCTTTCGTTTGGTATACATATTTTGCCTGAAGGGGCTTCTAGGGGGTATTGGGTGAATAGAAAAAGAATGAAAAAGATAGAACATTGTTTTCGTTATTTTTGCCCAGTTTAAGAGTGTTGACAATGGCATGTCATACTGATATGAAAAAACTGCACTCGGCATCCCACCAAAGTGTATGTAGAGCAAGGTTTATTCAAGGCAGAAGGATTGAGCGTGCTGCTTAAGCACTCATTTTAGTATTGCGGAGTTCCCGACAAAAGGTTGTCAGCATAAAATGTAAATTACTTTAGCATTTAGTAATGTGCTTGTTTTAACATAAAACTGCACTATGTTGTTTTAATTATGAGCAAGCCTAAATTTCAGACTTGTGTGATTTTTCATTTAGAATGTCGGCAACACAAAATGTCAAAACTTGATGAACTCAAAAAGTAACATTTCATACCTGGGCTACTAGCATCTTTCTTTGACACGCAACAAAGTGTATTTCGTGTCTTTATGTGGTTTTTATGCCCTTCTGTTTTCCTCTTTACAGATCAACTGCTTTTCATTTTTGCCAGTACGGTCTCGCCATAACAGATTTGGTTGCAGATGGAGAAGATGTCTTCAACTTCCCCTCACCTATTCCAAATGGAATCTCAAATCCCATCAGAAGAAATCTGGCGTCGTGGCCAGTAGGTTTTCAATTTGTTAATTGCATGTAGCATCAGGGCAGACTAGTGCCTTAATTGTAAGCCATGAATTCTCCACAAGTCGAATAGCAAGTAACAGTGATGAAACAACAACGAAAACAAAATGCCCGTGGAGCAACTTCGTTAATACTTCTGAGGGCATTTGATGGTAAATCACTAGATGGACCAAAGAATATCTCTTAAAAGAGTGTGAATATGCTGTTGACATATTTTTGAATGGCTTCTGTTTTTCTGAAAGGGTGGCATCCGTGTCAAAATAGATGTCTGGGATAGTGACAACAACAATGATGACCATGTTGACTCGTTCGTTGAGAATCTGAATGTGGCAGCTGCATCAAGCGAAGATGTCGCATCGCCCACCTCTTTTACTTTGGACGGCCCAGGATATGCCTCGTAAGGTTATTTGAGCATTTGCACAAAAGAACACGCCCCAAGTATGAGATGTTTTTGCCACAGAGAAATGACATTTACCTTCCTTTATCCTTCAACATCCACTGAGAGGATGTTGCAGGATTTTGAGGGTCATAGGACGGCACTGCCAAGCTTCTGTTTGTTTACATGAGACTTGATATTGTAGGAGAGTTTTCATGTGCAAAGATCGTGCAAGTTGTTTCCTGCATGATGGGGAATCCTGCAGAATCCTGGTAGTTGTTCACAGAGTTGGTTTCGTTCAGATTTTGATTTTTTTTTGGAGATGCGAAGTGTGAATTGTTCACAGTGGCATCAAAGAAAGACACAAAATTTGAATGGGGATGGTTCTGAGAAGAAAAATATTGAATGAAAGCTTCAGACAGACGTCGGGAATCATATGTTGAGATGTAAACTTGGTTCGCTGAAACTGGCCCCAATGAATGCTCTTTGCTATCAATTTTGTTTTCCTGTGGGTATCTGAATAGATTGGTGGTTGAGCTCACTGCCTATTGCGATGCCACATACTATGGATCTTCATGTAACGTACAGTGCATTCCTCAAGACAGCGACGAGGCAGGTCACTTCACCTGCAACCCAACCACCGGAGCTAAAGTGTGCCGTCCAGGGTACGCTGGTGACCTCTGCAAGGAAAACATCGATGAATGTTCCTCTCATCCCTGCTTGAATGGCGGCAGCTGTGTAGATGGTGTCAATGACTATCAGTGCACCTGCTTGGCAGGATACGAGGGTAAGCTTAGGTTTTAAAACAAACGTGTAATCGAAAGTGGAGCAGAAAACCTTGAACTCTAACAAATTATCTGGACTTCCATAAGTCTCCATCTCACAGCCTGGGAAAAACATGGACACATTATTGATCAGTTCATGGTCCCATCTTTTCCTGTAGTCTGGTACGGCTGCTGATATTGTTCTTTTTGACAGAAGAATCTGAACATTAATGATGTCCTTGACCACGCAGCTGCATGGAGACTGACATTATAAAGAGGACCAGGGTGTTCAATGAAATCACTCTCACAATTCCAATGTACCTTTCATAAGGGAACATAAGTTTTTGGTGGATCAGTGAAAGATAAAAACGACCAAAAATAGCAGGGCATTCCATTGGAATCTTAGCATAATTTTGGATTTTTTTTCTAAAAGCTACTCATTTCACAGCTTTTCTGATTAAGGGTCAGTTTCATTGGTCATTTATTTTGAGTTTTCTTCCTCATGCATTTATACAAATCAGAGTCTTCTTCCTAACATGTAAAATGGTATTAAAAGTTGTGATGCAGCCCCTTGGCAGTTGTGCAAGAAATGTTCTGGATCACTTCCAAAATCCATAACTAAACTTGAGGAAATTGTTTGATTTCAAGGGGCACCAAGCCCCATAGTGGTTTAGGCCTTCCATCTTCAACCCTTGAAAATCCATTAAAAAGGCCTGGTAGATTTTGAAGGATCTGAACACACAGGTTTTGTTTCAGTGACATTAGTAATGTAATTTATTTTTGGTACCAGGGACAAACTGCGAAACAGACATTGATGAGTGTGGCAGTGTACCCTGCATGAATCAAGGCTCCTGCGTTGACCAGCCCAACGGCTATACATGTAGGTGTTTACAGGGCTACGACGGCATCCTTTGTGAGAATGACATCAATGAATGCTTGAGCTCCCCTTGCCTGCATGGTGGCAACTGCAGCAACTTGATTGGCAGATTCCAGTGCAGTTGCCCAGTGGGTTACCATGGTGAGCGGTGTGAGACTGACTTGGACGAGTGTCTATCTGACCCTTGCATGAATGGCGGTGCTTGCACACATGGAATTGGGAGCTTCTCTTGTCTGTGCCAAGACGGCTTTGAGGGGGATCGCTGCCAGGTCAATATCGACGAATGCGCCAGTAATCCTTGCCATGCAGAATCAAGCTGTGTGGACAGTGTCAACGGGTATGAGTGCCTCTGCATCGAAGGCTTTGCCGGTCCCACTTGTCATGTGAATGTAGATGACTGCATCAACGATCCTTGTCAAAACTTAGGCACTTGTGTGGATGGCATCAACTCGTTCCACTGTCTCTGCTTGGCAGGGTACGAAGGGGACCTCTGCCAGACAAACGTTGACGAATGTGCTAGTTCGCCTTGTCAGCATAATGGCACATGTGTGGACGGAATTGACAGGTTTGACTGCATTTGTGCAGGAGGATTTGAAGGTCTACTGTGTGAGGATGAAATAGACGCTTGCCTCAGTGGACCGTGTCAGAACGGTGCTTCTTGCAGCAGCAGGAGGGGTCAGTTCCACTGTGCATGCCCTATTGGTTATGCAGGGGTTTACTGTCACGAGAACATTGACGAGTGTTTGGGGTTTCCGTGTCAGAATAATGCAACGTGTGTTGATGGAGTCGGCAGCTACGAGTGCCTGTGTCTTGCTGGTTTCTCCGGGCTGAACTGCGCTGTGAACGACGATGAATGTCTCTCGAGCCCTTGCTTGAATGGGGCCACCTGTGTAGATGTTGTGGATGGGTTCACATGTCTGTGTTCGGTTGGCTTCTTGGGTCGGACGTGTGAGACCAACATTGACGAATGTGCTTCGCGGCCTTGCGCAAATGGCGGGACCTGTGTTGATGGCATTGGAATGTTTCGCTGTGATTGCCTCACTGGTTTCTTTGGGCTGACCTGTGAAACAAACATCAATGAGTGTGAGAGCAGTCCTTGTCAGAACAATGCGCAGTGTGTTGATGACCATGGCCATTACATATGCGTTTGTGCACTCGGCTTTGAAGGAGTTCACTGTGAGACTGAGGTGGATGAGTGTGCTCCCCAACCTTGCCAGAATGGTGCAACGTGTGTGGATCAAGTTGGAAACTTCACGTGTGATTGTCCCACGGGATTCGATGGCAGACATTGCCAAATTGATCTAAATGAATGCGAGAGTGTACCTTGCCAGAACGGTGCTACTTGCATTGACAGCCCGGGCAGCTTTGCTTGTTCGTGTGTAGCTGGATTTGTGGGTCCATCTTGCCAAACTAACATTAACGAGTGTGCAAGCCAGCCTTGCATGAATAATGGACACTGCGTCGATGCTGTGAATGGCTACCAGTGTATGTGTCTGCCAGGGTATGGTGGTGATCATTGTCAGACTAACATTGATGAATGTGCAAGCATGCCTTGCCTGAATGGTGCATCTTGCATGGACAAGTTACACGGCTACGAGTGTACCTGTGTCCAGGGTTTCACTGGGGTTACGTGCGAAGTGAACATCGATGAATGCTCCAGCCAGCCTTGCATGAACGGAGGCACGTGCTATGACCACATCAACAGTTACCAGTGCGGCTGTCAGCGTGGGTTCGTCGGGATTAATTGCGAGATGAGCGCCGACGATTGCGGCCACCAGCCCTGCATGCACAATGGCACGTGCAATGATGGGCTGAACGAGTACAACTGCACCTGCCTGCCGGGCTTCGCGGGCGTAAACTGCGAGCTGAACATTGATGAGTGCCAGAGCAGCCCATGCAGCAATGACGGGACGTGCCTTGACAAAGTGAACAGCTTTGTCTGCATCTGCAGCGCGGCGTTCAGGGGCATCACGTGCCAGTACCCTGTCATCACTTGTCTGGACTGGGACTGCCAGAACCAAGGGACGTGCGTGGAGACCGGAGAGAGCCAGCCTCGATGTGAATGCCAGGAGGGGACATCAGGGGAACACTGTGAGATTAACAGGAACGAATGTCTGAGCTCTCCCTGTCTGAATGGTGGCACCTGCCAAGACCTCATTAATGGATACAGGTGAGTTTAGCACTCTAGATTGCAAGTACCATTTGTCCCATGCCAATAATGGCTCGCCAAACCATAAATATTTGCCCCAAATGAGATGCCAAACCATTCAAGCTTTAAATATTCTTCAGCAAACACCACTCATTTGTACGTATGGATGGGGAGGGCAAGCTTAGGGATGAAGTAGCTTGCTTACATAACATCCTGTTTAGAAGCTGGACTCAAAACACCAGACATTTGTGAATGCATTCCTGAATACATTTACCCCTCAGACAGTCTCCTTGTGCAACTTGACTTTGTGTTAACATTTGATAATGCCTGCTGAGAAATGATAATGCCTGCTGTGTAAATCACATGCTGGCACCTGAATACGAGGCAGTTTAATCAATTCTAATTGGTTGAGAGTCTGTGTGCAAGCAGCTCACACACACGCTTCAAGTCCATATAAGGAGATTCTTTTGGACAACATGCACAAGAAATATACCATAAAATGGACTGGGTGTTTGAGAAAATTGAAAGTAAAATTCCAGAACAAAATCGTTGGAAATCCATCATATTTTGACTTCTTTTGACTGAGTGACTAAAAAGGTATTTACAAATGGGAATAAATATGTGTTTGGCTGGCCTTACTGTTTAAGACCAGCTCAGGATACTGAACACTGATAATGCCCCTCGCCTGCAGCTCAGTCATTAGTCACGTCCATTCTTCTGAGCTGGTCTTAAATGCATGTTTAAGGCTGGCCAAGCTCATATTCGTTCCCTTAATAAAAAACCCAAAACTGGGCCAAAACTCAGCGGTGCTTAAAATAAGAACCCTGGCTTAAGACTCGATCAAAATTAAAATTTGATCACTTAGACAGAAAAGTAGCCATGATGCTTCTTTGGATGAGAATCTAAAACTGTTAAACACTACGTTTTAACTGATAGTTTATTCCATCATCAGTGCTCACAAACCTTTACGCATTTTTATTTTCAGCTGTGAATGTGACGCCCAGCACACTGGTCTTCACTGCGAGATCCGGCATCCCACGAGCCCCTGCCAATCCTCACCCTGCATCGACGGTTCGTGTGTTGAGTCCTCCTCAAGGCAGACCTTCAGCTGCTCATGTCAGCCTTTCATTATTGGCAGATTCTGCGATAAAGGTCAGTACAACTTCTTCACCCAACCACAGGTGGCGCAACCACCGTGAAATATCTGAAGGGGCACCCTGCCAAGCGCACACGTTTTCAAAGGGGCACTGAACTGTGGCTTGTACATAAGCCCTGCAAATGGGCGGGACGCAACCCACCATAGTTTAGCCACTGCCTTACTGACATGACTGCATGGAATTTTCTGCACTTCAAAATTAACTCTCTTCCATGGCAGATGATTTAAAATTTCATTTCGACCACAACAACTGTTCACAAAGGCAGTAAGGGTGAGCGTGATAAATTTTCCACAACATTACATGCAAGGTCGGGAAAATTAACAGCGATTGCGGAGATATGCAGGTAGTTTTGCTCTTTTGGCACAGAAAACCTTGTGTCGATGGCTGTATGCAATGCAGCCATTAAATCACATACAGTTTACGTTCCTTTGATCACCACAGATTTTAGTGATTTCAATAAATTTCTACTTTGGCTGTTTCTGAATAGCAGGTGATAGTTGCTTGACCATCAAACTATACCTACCAGTATTGTTTGCGCCATGCTTAAGTTCATTTGCGCTTGCTCAAAATGATCCAAACAATAGTAGACTGGTATGCTTTCTTGCTTGTTACCACCATGCATCTCGGAAGTCTCCTATTTGTTAAGCACTGTGTGTTGAATGTAGAACTCTCTTTGCAAACTTTCTCCAAGTTGCCAATTTTTTTTTAAAATTCCTCTGTACTAACAAGAAATTTTGATCAAGTTCTGTTTCTTTTCATGATTAGTTGACGAAGCCAAGGTGTCATTTTCTCTTCAACTCAATGGACACCTTACACACACGGCCTCTATTGCCCAGCGTCTTCAGCGGGTCATTGAGGTCAGGATGAAGGGCAGTGACCCCGTGGGTCCCGTTGAGGTCATCATCATCTCATTGGCAGAGTCCAACTCGTTACTGTCAAAGTAGGTTCCTCTAATCAAAATGGCTTTCCTAAGATATTTGATGTGTGCATAAATGTTGCACGTGGATTACCTACCGGTAGGTTACCTTCTTCACACTTGTAGACTGGTAATTGCCTGCTTCTTAACATGATTTAGGCCATGTTAAGATATAGGATCCAAAGTGACAATTGTGCCCCTGTAACACCTGACAAGACCTGCTTATTTTGACGTGGAATTAATCGTTGACATTAACTTCAAACTGTATTTGTATTTACTACAGGGGTGGGTTCAGGATTTTGTGCCGGGCTCAAAGAGTTTTGTGTGTGGGGGGGCTTTCAACATGGTCGCAGTTGTAAATGTTGAGGTTGGTGAAGTCATTTAATGTCTTTGCTTTGTCCTTCACCGTACACTCAAAGTAAGACCCCTACATGTCTATGCTTTTTGTGTCTTAAACCTTTTGATGTAGACCAATTAAAAGCAATTTAAATTTTTAAAAACAGGCAATAGGAGGTAGGGTTTGAAACCCTCCCCCATCCATGCCTGTGCATTCATATTCTTCCCACTGATTGAAAACTTCACCACCTGATCACTTGGACCAAACAGCTGCTTCCGGTCACAAACGTATTCCGCCTCACTTTTGAGAGTGGTTAAAGGACGTGAAAAGTCTTACCTGGGGCTATTGTGAGCTAACACTGTATTTCCCCCCACACAGCGCCCCCTATACCACCGTCATGTTTTACGCACGCTTCAATGGGACCCTCCAATCGTCACAACGGCTCCAGGATGTCTTCCAGAGTGCATCCTCACAGGACATTGAACTTCTCCTCTCGCCATACAAGATATTCAAGGAGAAACCGCTGTCAGTGGCAGAGCAGAGCAAATCAGATCGCGGCAACAAAGAAAACAAGGTTCGCGACATTTCTCTCTCCTCCCCGCTATTTGTTGCCAAAGTGACTTTTCCTGTAGAAAGTTTTCAAAATTTCTTGAACCTTCACACATAAGATTGGGGCTAAAGATTTTTACTATTAGCATAGAAATCATCTGTCATAACTTAAACTCTTTGCATCAGATCCCCTTGGCCGCAAAAAGTTTAAACATCACTTTTGATAACTTGGTTCAAGGTGATTCTTATGTGTAATAGCACGGCATGAGAACCGAGAGGCGTCGCGACTGGGCAGATGTGGAGGATGTGGCACCAGTTGGCAAATAGAGCTTCGGTGGTCAAATGAATCCAAAATACAGAAATGATTATAATATGGTACATAAACAATATTTGTGTTGGCCATCAGCGTGCCCCTGAAGCATGAAATGTAGCGTACCACGGATTTCCATTTCAACATGAGGCTGGCGAACAAGTTAGAAATTGGCAAAGTGACTCTACCACGCACACCCCCAAGAGAAAATGCCTTCGCTACGCCCCTGGTTTCTTTTCCCCTTCTCATCAAGTCAAGCAATATCCTCGATTAAGGGACAGGGAATTGGCCTACTTGATTTGTGTCATTAGGCACGCCATTTTGGCAAGTTACAGCATCTTGGTGGTTGAAGATGCCTGTGATAGGTAACTGTGAACTACCAACTGCCTGTTAACATGATACCACTGGCTTCTGGTGCTAGTGATGGGACTTTCATAATGTTTGAACACAGTAAACTAAGCACCAGATAAAATTTTACCGAAAAAATGTTAGGATATGCATAGAAATTAGCATCAAGAAAAACAACTAGACAGCAGAATATTCAGCAATACACTTCCAGCCCTTAAAGTTACAAAACTGTAGAAACTATGGTTTTAAAACTTAAAACTTTAACTTAAAAATGGTTGTTTGGAGCAAGGGTGAAGGCAAACACTTAAATTCATGTTGTTTCAGATCGACAAACTTGACTTTGAGCTGTAAATTCATGTTTGGCCATTCACACTTCTGATCTTGATTACTTTCTTCTTCTTGCAGACCTGGCTGGCCTTGCATTGGTACATCATTCCAATTGTCATTTTAATTCTGCTCGTTTTGATCCTGCTGCTGGTAGCAAGAGCCCTCTATCGGTGAGTAGTAAACTACTGTTCTCCCAAGATGTCTTTTCGGATGGTCTCATTTGTATTTTTTGTAAACTCTAATTGGATAGAGAGCAGTGGTGTATGAGGGGAATGCTGCAAGAGTCAGCTCAGAACCTGGAAAAGAAAAGCGAGCACTGGCAATTGCATTCCTTGTTAGGTGCTGCATTGTTCATGATGCAGCAAGCACGATTTGCAGCCCAAATCATTGAGTACCAGGAAATGGGTACCCTAGATACCAGCCCCCTATTATTAAGTTGGACTCTTTGTGCCATAGAGTGCCAAAGTGAATATTTCACGTGCCAAATTACATGAATGAAAGGCATTATCATGAGAACCAGCACGCGAACCAACACATACGGGTACCGCATAGGTTTGCACTACACTTTCCGTTTCAAAATGATGTCACATGTCGGTACTCTATCGGCAGAAGATATTATACCTGCATCTTGTGAATTTAATCAATTGCCCCCTCCCCACCATTGTTGTGAAAATGTAGGTATTCATCTTTCGTGTTAGTGTTGTGTTAAATGTTCTTGGCATAGCGTTCCTAGTAACGTGAATACCCCGTGCTACTTCTTCAGGTCATCCTATATTCAAGAGCGATTTGGACTTTCTTTAGTGTCCAACAATTCTGTAGAACCTGATGATCTTGATGAACGGTGCGTTGTGTCACCTTTTGGTTTGAGAATGCATCGTAGTGTTGCTGAAGTAAATGTAGAGCACTCCTCCTTTTCTCGTAGTGTGCAATAGATTGCTAACAATCAATTAAGATGCATGCTACGGGGCAGCGCGGACATCCGGGATTCTCGCGCTGGTGAAAACTGCAACCATGGTGACGTACGCACACACCTGCCAGTCCGAGGATCGGGTTACACCATCTTTTCTTTGATCAGTACGTACGTGCATGCTCGTTGCAGTTGTTTTCAGCGGCGCGGTTTGGTTCCTACCCGCAATTCAGTGAAACTCCTGGATATCCATGCTGCCCTATTCGCCACTGTAGACACTATCATTTAGCACACGTTAACATAGAATACCACAATGGTCAAATATCACAGTACTGATTTGTGCATTATTTTCTGCTGACAGAATGTTTTCTTCTATTTTACAGACATGAAAGTAGTTTACACACATTAGAATGTGACACTCCCCCCCCGATTAGATTTGAGAATAACTGTCTTGGTGCTTGTATCTAGACTGTACGTTTCTTTCTCAGACTGACTGTCTCCCTGTGATGGAGAGCTGACAACAAACGACCAAGATTTTTGTAGCATGCATTAGTTGCATCAGTAGTGTACTGATTTAGACCTGTGCTTGGTATCGTTCCTTGGAGCACATTTTCCAGTTCGACTAACGGTATGACTCCAACTTCATTAGTGTGAACTCCTCAGTCATCTGGGAGCTTTGCAGTTCCTTCCAAAGTCCAACACAGTACAATAAACCGTTTCCAATCCCTTTGACCCTTACTGCTCCTTTTGAAATACGCTACTAACTGAATGCTTGCATGTTACTTGATTAATTTTAAGTAATTCCTTTTTTTTGTGATTTAGGAGGCGTCGTAGAGGGGAGTTCATTCGTAGCGGAAACATGACGGCCAACTTTGCCAACCCCGTCTACGCCCAGTACTCCCCAGCCCAGATGGACGACCACGACCCGTGCGCGGTGCCCATGGGAGGGCATAAATTCATTAGCGGGACCGTCGTCATGGATCACAGTGACTTCACGGATGTCCGATTAAGCAACGGATCGGCGACAATGTCAACCTTTGTCCCCACTTGAGGGTATCGTTCCCGCAGTGAAATCTGTCCAATAATGTTCACAGTGCAAATGCGTCCACCATTTTTACTTAAAGTTGGACTGTCTTTTTCAGCTATGTCTCTGTTTAGAATTTATTTCACCAAGTAAAGGAATTTAGAGTTTGCATAAAATGCTTTGTGTAGCGAACTATAAGCAAATAGTTTAAATAGGAAAGCAAAATGCCTTAAAAACATAATGCACAAAACACCACATTGCACATTCCAATGTTATGTGTTCGAAAAACACACTGTTTTTCAATATTTGAATGTATTTTACCAAGCAGTAAAGTTCTGTAACATTCCAAGCGGTGGCAACTCAAAACTTTCGTAAATGACCACTTTTTTGTCACACCTATTTCTTCAGTGTAACAACTAACAACATTGTCTTGTGTCAATACAACTAATTCTGAAATACTTACAAATCAAACGCTTACTGTTGAATTAATTTATTGCTCTGTAGATCACAAATACTTATCACAGCTTGTACGTAATTAGTGATTACAAAGTGCAGGCATTTCCAAAATGTGCATTTTTTATACATAAATTATTTATGATATACGCAATTTGCACCCAACTTGTTTTGTACCAATATAAATGTGCCATTTTTATACTCAAGCACCCCATCCCCTTAATGTTAATCTCTGTACACGTACATAATATTTTCCGTAGTTAGGCAGAACATTAGGGCATGACCGATTACCCTCCGGCAAGTGATCTTGAGGTCTTAATGTGACGATTTCCTTATTACCATTCATTGTCTGCATGTTGTGCCTTTTATATGATTGTAAATACATGTCATTTGAAATCTGAACTTACAATGTACATACTTGGGAGAATTTTCTGGCTTCATCTCAACTAGTATTTTTGTTTTCAAATTATTGATATGATCAAGTAGTCCTGAAGCCTCAGATCTACTAGGGAGTCTATGGCTCATTTAAAGGTCATGTAGATGATAGGACAAAGCATCCTGCTTGAGGACACAAAGCAACTGGGTCATTCCATGAGGTTGGAGCACAATTTGTGACGGTGTCACTTGCTACATCCGCAACTTTTACCGCCTGTCATGACCTATAGAGTAGGTTTTTAATTTTGAAAAAATAAAACACATCTCTGTATTCAGCCTTGCAAGATGTATAACAATGTCAATTTGGAATCCACATGCAGGGAAATAACTGTTCATTTTTATGGAACCCATGTAACAACTGACACTGTCACAAACTGTGTCCCATCCTCATGGAATGACCCAGCTCACATCGTGGTCCAATGATAGAGGTTGCTCACAATCTGTGCTGAAGGTCTTCGGACATGACACACATTTAACTGAATTCTGTATGCTTGTATAAAAACTGCAGGCTTAGTCTTGTCTAACAAATGTTGGGATTTTCTTGTTTCTTTGGGATTTCTTTTCTATAAAAGTGAAGATGTACATGCAGTAGTGATATCCATGTGCATTTATGAGAAAACAAATTTGGTCTTTTTTTCAACTGTCCAAGTCACCCAAAGAGCTAAGATTTGTGTCTGCAAGTGAAGATGTTAACAGAATCACCAAAGTCTATTGGCATACAAGAACGATTCACAACCTACGCCAAAGTCAAATACTTGGCTCAAAAAGTTGCAGAGGGACCCTCCCCATTCCCTGGGGATCCAGGTGTTCCTTGATGTGATGGATGATCAAAATGTATGTACATATTTAAATTGATTATTATCTGTTGAAGATGCTGCTACAGTAGTGTATATAAATAATTGAATGCACTGATAGTGTGAAACATAATAAAATGTAGTGCTGATGATGATGTACCTTGCAGTTCTAGCTCCAACGCGGGCAAAGATTTCTGAGTAATGTAACAAATTGTGTTCCCAAGCAACAATCTGACAATGTACCATCCACTCAGAATATCTGCTTAAACATGTGAGCATTACCAAATTTGGCAAACAGGAATAATCATCTCGGCAGGCATATGCTATAAGATTTTCCACATTAACTAGTGTGAGAAAAAACAAGTGAATTTGAGCTAATTATTTAATAATCCGTAATTGATATGTAGTTGTATACCACTGGGATTCTATTTAATTTTATACCTGTATACATATTATGAGCTTAAATGATACGTCCACCTTGATGGATAGCTTATAATAAAATGCGAGAAAGTGAATGTGGTTGTGTGTATTTTCACAGTAGTGTGTAAAGCCGTGCTATGACCTGGTGCGACTATTTATTTCAAGGCTGTGCTGAATTTCACAATTTTCACATCTTTAACCCTAACCCTCCTCAGTCCTTCACCTGTTGGAGGACTGAGGAGTGTTAGGCTTAATAGTTTGTAGTCTGGACTCCGATTATAGGGTTTGACTTGTCTTGCACAGGCCTACTCAGGAGTAGAGGTGGCCTAGTGGTCGAGTATATAATTCTCAAACATGTGGCCAGGCTTTGAATTGAGCAGTTGGTTTTATATTGTGACCTTGGGCAGGTCACTGTTACTACCAGCCTGAGTAATGCCTCTCTCCATCCAAGAATGTAAACGGGTACCTGTGAGAGTAGACGTGGCTGCATCAAACTAATATAGGCCCCGTGGATATGAGATAATGAATAATAGTAAGCACCTTGTAGTCTTGGTTGTACCATCTGGCAATTTGGAAAAGTTCTCCATGTCCCAAGAGCTTTGTCACAATGTGTGGTGCATTTTACATTATATTGAAATTGCATCTAAATATCATAATGGGATACACAAGAAATTACATTGCAAAATATTACAAAATTATATTGCGCGAGTTCAAAGTCTTATGTTGCTTTTTATCTGTGGCTCTTGAGTTGATTGGCTTGTGTTCTAAGGGTAATATTAAAAATCACAAACATGAAATCCAAACTATTGTACCAAATCTGGAGCAAATTGAGCTGAAGTCAAGGTTCAGGTAAGGACAGGTAACATTTGGTTTAGAGTCAGGAGCATTCAATGGTGTATCGGTAATATTAAGGATCTTTCACGCTCACCTGATGCTACTGTGACCTTAGGCACCTGTGATGAATTATGCAGTGGACTCGTCTGCAACAGGTGGCAGATTGAAGGGCCTGGACTCTGAGTCCAGACCTGGACTCGAGGGTACAAGTCCGGACTCCGAGTTTGACTCTGATTCAATGGGTTCAATCCTGTTTCTGGTGAAAAAAAGAAAGAAATTGAATAATATTTGCATATCTAAAACCTGGAGAGTCTGAGAATCGTTTTCAAAGATAAGATTCTGCCGTAGAGAAAGATCTGAAGAAAAAATAGGCAGAAATTAATTTTATTGAGCATTAACTAAAAATATTTCAAAAACAGTTTCTGAATAGTCTTACACATGAAATGCATCCACTGAATGCACACGCATACTCAGGGAATGTCTAAAGACAGAAAGACATGTTTTCCACTCAAATCTCTTGGTATAACTGACAAAGCTAAAAGTGAGATCAATTGTTTTACAAAATACAATGGAATAAACGAAATCTCTGTAGTCTACAGCCTGCAACCTACGCAGATTACCAATACCTATGCATTATTTCGTAGTCCGTTACTTTCACTCGCTAAATTCTCGATCACCAATAGTGCGCCCCCACTCACTCGCTCCCCGCAAAGGGGTCGGCCATGTTCGTCCTCTTTTTCTTAGCACCATTACGTTGCGGAACGTGTTGTTCCGGCTCCGAATATTTGGGACTTTTTTTCCTTCGCTAACGCGTGTTTCGTTGTTATTCCTCGATCACCTTGTTTGTTTATTTGTGCTGACTCCTGTGAATGGTAAGATTGTTCCTTTTTCATGTTATTTCTAGACATTTTACCGTTCCCTTTTCAGTCTTGCGCAGGTGGCAAATAATTCTGTGCTATGCCTGCAGACCCCTTATGACCTCCACACAGTCTGTCTGAGACTTTGGCTGTGTCCGAAACGGGCTTCCAGAGCTACGGCTAGGTCTATTGTCTGCGTGTCTCCACGTACTTTCAATGGAGTGAAGACCTAGTAGCTCTAGACAACAGATTCTCATCAGGGAACCGAGGCGCGTGCTCGTCATTAGCGAGCCACGGGCGGACCGTCCTCCATTTCTGGCCCTGCCCTGGTGGCTTCGCCGTTCGTATTTGGTCCTGCTATTGCTTTCTCTAATCTACATCCGCGTTTTAGGCATCCGAATTCACCAAACTTTACACAGTAGTGGAATCCAAATGCCTCTTGTTATCCAGACGCGAGATCCTCTGATGTGGGCGTGTCCCTATTTACATACTGTCACTGTAAGGAGGTCCAACAAGAATTGGTCTACCATTGGCCGCATAATTCGTCAAGAATGGCCCTCAGATTCCCTCATGTAGTTACGTCCGCATGATCGGTACGAGAAAGAGTACTCGGTAGGGCTTTGTTCGATTTTCAAATTAATGTTTACGTTCGTCAGAAAAATAATTTTTAATATCGGAGTGGTTTTTCATGTCCACTGTTCCGCTTGTCCTGACCGCGGGAATATTGGGCTTCAATTCGTCCCTGTCAGGCAGGACCAACATTGGTGACTAATACTTTTATTTCTTACGTACACTTCATTTGAGACTAGGCTTTTTCTCTCTTCGGTTGGATGCATGCGCTCAAACTTTAATTCCCCATGCATGCGGTAAAACAGTTGGAGTCCTTCAATAAAGGAACGTCTACTGCTATTCTATGTAAAAGACAAGACTCATTTTTCATTCTCCAGAAATATGTTTCATCGACATTCGCATGTGCTGGAGCTGTTCATTGTCGCTAGGTGCAACTTCCTCTCGACTTCACCAGTCTTCCGGCACTGACTCCTTGCTCGATAAAGAGAGCCAAACCTTCTTCATATATCTTTGCCACTTGGAGTTTCCCCAGCCTCCGACCTTTTCATTGGTCGTAGCTAATCGGGGTACCTTCCTTTACGGCTTGACAGCATTTGTCAAGCCCTCACTGCAGTCATACTTGGGGTCCCCCCCCAAAAGGTTGTTCACCTCTTTCTGGATAATTCATGACGTTTTCTTGTCTATCCACAGCTGCACATAAGACTTTGCTCAGGATGGGTGTGGTGAACCTCTGATGTGAAAGGGTTGATTTAATCCCACCCATCTCTAGACAAGGGAAACCTGTTGCTAACTTACCGGTGGCAATGAAGGATTTACAGGAGATACAATGGAACAGTTCTGGTCCTTCTTCCCTCGCCGATTTTTATGCACCAGTCAAATCCTGCTCTGCCTTCTCTAACTTTCCTCAAACGTTGTCGCGACTCGAACATCATCCCACCAGGCCTCAAACTCCACGACCCAGTCCGCAACCCTAGATCCAACCGCATCCTACTGTCAGCCAGCCAAGCCCTACTCCGGGAGCGCATCAGCTATACCAGATGCACCCTCAGCCACCTGGACAAGGACATCGCCAACGTGAAAGCTGCCCTCAAGTCAACTCTGCGCCATCAAGATTTCATCAAGGTCTCCTCCCTCACCCAGTCCTCCAGTCTTCATGCGTTCAACACATCCCGCAACAAGCAAGTCCGGAAATTCCTTCGTCTCACCAACCGGAAGATGAGATCGTCTATATCTCTATTCCAACATGCTGGGGCAAAGGGATCATCTATATCCCGCAACCCTACTACACCTGCATCACTACCAGTTCACCTCCGGAACCAAGACGAATTCCGACGACACAATGTCGTCAACCTTAGTCAACGCACCCTGTCTTACACGGAGACAGATGTCCTCTCCCTAGGCATGAACTTTGCCACACCACCCCGCTTCATCCCCTCAGCCGACATCATCCAAGCTACCGAACCAGCGTTACGGAAGCTTGACAAGACCACGGCCGATGATCAACCAAGTCATCCGTCACACCAACCCCATCAAGTCCAACCTCACCAGGCCTAAAAGCAGAAGCCCTCAAGAACCTTGGGAACGACAAGACAATCCACATCATCACGGCCGATAAAGGCAACGCCACCGCAGTCATGGACCGAACATCCTACAACAGGAAGGTACATGACATCCTCTCATCTGGTACATACCGCCCTCTACCCAAAGACCCCAGTCATCGAGAAGCGAGTAGCAGCCAAGCTACTTGCCCTTCAACGGTCCGACACCATCCCCACAGCACTCTACCGCCGCCTTCGCCCGTCAGCCTCGTCCTGTCCAAGATTCTTCAGCTAGCCCAAGGTTCACAAGCCAGACGTCCCCCTGCGCCCTATCATCGCATCCAGGGGGTCACCCACTTACTTGGGGGCTTCGGGTATAGGGGACCCTAGCGCCGGGGGTGGTGGGTGGACTTCGGGTATAGGAGACCCTATGGTCCTGTCGGTGGGTTTGGAGAGGTTGATGTGTTTGTATCCATTGAGTTGGAGAGCCGTCTTGATGTGCTTGAGTTCTTGGTTGAGGTTGCCCTGGTCGCAGATCTCATGGGCTCTGCGAACAAGGGTGCGGTTAACGGACGTCTTGATGGCTGGATGGTGAAAGGATCGCTGATGCAGGTACCAGTCGGTGTGGGTAGGTTTGCGGTAGAATCGATGGTTGAGAGTACCGTTCTTGTTTCTCGATAGGTTGACATCGAGAAAGGCGAGTTGGCCGTCTTGCTCTTGTTCCATGGTGAACTTGATGGTGGGGTGTTGTTTGTTGACGTATGTTGGGAATTCCTGGAGTTGGTCTTGACCGTGGGGCCATATGACGAAAGTGTCGTCCACATAGCGTAGCCACAGGGTGGGCTTGAGATCCGCGGTGAGTAGGGATGAGGTTTCAAACTCTTCCATGAAGATGTTAGCACGGACCGGGGATATAGGAGATCCCATGGAGGTCCTAGGCTTTAGGATTAACCTGAAGGTAACTCACGTCTCGAAGCCAATAACTCCTTTACAGACGTCTGCTCCGACGGAAGGATTCACGCAACAGAACAGACACTATATCGCAATGTGACTGAGCCAGTCCCTTGGTACCCGACCGTCTGCATATTGCCAGCTCTGCCTTGACATGGAACATCTATTTGCTGTTATTCTCCACCAGACTCCCGGCGATTCTGTCAGAATTGGTCAGAAAAAACATCTGCTATTCAGACCATTAGACCTTCCTAAGCCTGAGAATTAATTTACCCAGATTCCTAGGGTAACATTTATACAGGAGCACAGAGTTCTCCGTTTTCATGACATGACATGAACAGTGTGAACTCCACTTCAATGCCGATATGTGCAGTGACCGATTCTCTTCTACGGGACTAAGTACTGCAATAGCCAATTACATGTAGCTACTGTTTGTTGTCTAAGCTACCTATGTGTTTCCCAAATTAACTTCTATCCCTTAGACAACACTGACTCCAGGTATCCTCTTCTTGGCAAACATTTTGGTACAGCCGCCCTTTGTTGCTGCCAATAGCTGCTTCATTCCTGGATCGTGGTCTGTTGATAATATCCTCTACGCATACTCTCATTGGGTGATAGTCCCACTGCGCTCCTTTCACCTTCGCCGTAGGCTACAATTCAAGGCCCTGTTCATTCTCTCCGTACTAAAAGTGGGCCAGGAATCAAAGCTGAGAGGTATTGTGCTTCTTCTATCACCCTTCAGGTGAGAGTTTCGCCTTCGCTGTGTGGATTTCCTCGGCCGTAAGCATCATCTGTTCCAAATGGCTGATTTTCACAGACGTCAAACCTTGCCACCCTGTCACGATCCACGACGCTAGGCTTATATAGGCCTACATGCACAATGTCGAATCTTCCGTTAGTGTATGTTGGTGGTTATCTACATGGCTATTTTGTTGGATAACGCTACGACCATTTATCTCAGGCTACCTTTAGCATGGGAGTGCAATGAGTTCTGCCGAGACATGCCAATAATACCCTCTTCACCGAGACCACAAGAACAAGTACTGAGTCTAACTTCAGCTATACTTCGTATCTTTGGTTGTCCCCCTTTCATGTCCTACACACTATCAAGTTTGGTATGTTGACCGGCCTTCTGGCCCAGATGACCAATGTAGATGACACATTTGTGCCCATGATGTTCAGGCCGTTTCATCAGTAGGGGCCGATTTCAAAGTGTTTCCTGTAATAGAGATTTGTAGAGAGCCTTGTTGGGAAACCCATACCCCATTCACCTCCTGTTACCCCTATGATGTTTGAAGGGGGCCTTACACGTGGACTGTCTGTAGGTTGGACGGCATTACGGTTGCCCCATTGCGGACCATCCTCTACCCTTGCAGGAGGAGGCACTCAAGCAGTCACTCTAAGGTGGCTGGACACTGGTAGTGCGTCCTCGCTTTCCCACTGTCCATTGGTTCGGTGCTACTCTGCATAGGTATTGGTAATCTGCGTAGGTTGCAGGTAGTAGATTCTCCCCCTACCTAATGTGGGTTGAGTCTACTGCTGCATACCTACCAGATTACCAATCTCCCTCCCTTCTCCCCGCATGGCCTTGGCGCACTTTGAGCATCGAAAAAGAGGACAAACATGGCCGACGCCTTCGCGGGGGGCGAGTGGGGACGCACTATTGGTGATCAAGAATTTAGCGAATTTAGCGAATGGAAGTAATGGACTAGAAAATAATGCATAGGTATTGGTAATCTGGTAGGTATGCAGTAGTAGACTCAACTCACATTAGGTGGAGGAGAATTCTTTTCCTCTTAAACGTGGGCACAGACCTTTTCAGAAAAAGCACGCATCATTTATTCAGCTTTATTCTGCCACTGCTCTTACCTCTTATGCTTTGCTGAATGTTTCTCGTACATGAAAGAAACAAATGCCAGGAGGGTAATCAGCGCGACGCCACCACATCCAAAAGAGATGCCAATAATTGCTTCAGTCGACAAAGTTTCTGCACAGAATGAGATCCAAAGGAAGGTGTGTTTCTTGGTTTCAAAAAACGATAAACACAGGCATTTTTATGGAGTTTTCTCAAGTTCGTAATTGTCCACTGACTGTGCACAGGAATTCGGTGCTCTATTCTAGTAAACATATAATCAAAGGAGCCATCACAAGTCCATAATCCGAAAAAATACGAATAAAATGCATTCACGATAGAAAAGGACACGTCGGTATTTTTTGACATTTCTATTTCATTCACACCAACTACTGTTGCTTTGCACGAATTACTGTTTCTAGAGTTAGCATGAACTATTATTTCGTTTGTTTGAATTATCCATTTGTTCCAAAGAATTACTATTTTGTTCACAATTATTATTAATTCACTTACAAAATTACTTCTTGACACAAATCAGTGAACAAAATGGATATTTACTCGGTTTCGTTGGTACTGGTGGGGGTTGTCCAGTGGTAGTTCCTCCAGTCGTTGAAGCTTTTGTTGAGAGCACATCTATGAAATAAAGACTTCCTCTTGAGTGACCAAGGTACCTCTTCAGGCTAGTCAGTCTCACCAACAACACTGTTCGTCGTCACCACTTTTGGAGTATAGTGGCAAAACTAAGCAAGTAACAATGTAACCCTCATTCCCTTCCACAATCATCCTCATTGTTTACAAAGGGATCCGTGCAAGGGCTAAGCACTGGTGTTAGGGTTAACCTCATCTGAGGTGTACTACCACGCTGTCCTGCCTCCCTTGGAACCAATTCCAGAGATGTACCAACACTGGAACGATCTCGTGCCTTCAATGAGGCATACCCTTGCGTATCCTCTGGCAATTTCCAGTCAACCTCTGAGTCGACTTTCGCCTGAGGTATATCCCTGCTCTTAGGTGTATATACCTCACTTGTAATCTCAGGTTGTGACCTTTTTCTGACAGCCTCAAACTCAGCTCAGAGAGACGATTCCGCTCCAATTTGAGCCACTGAACTTCCATTCTGGAGTGGTTCAGGTCACAAAGGACAGAACCCTTGTCATCGTCATTCTTAGAGGTGATCTCACTGCCCTTATTACTACTCATACTGAAGTTTCCTCAGTGCATGGAAACTCAACCCTAATTGAACTCTCTAGACTAGGCCACTGGCCACTGGATGATAGTGGTATTTCACCAGTAAATTCAGGCTGCAAGATCGCTTGACCCGTCCCCAAGCCTTGCAAATTTACCCTTACCTACGTGTCAACCACTATCAGGCGAATTCTGTGAAAAATTGATAGTTGCTCCCTTACAGCACGTCGCAAGGTTTGCAACTCCACACAAATCCTTAACAGAATCCACACACTAATAACTACAACAATAGACTATACAACATTGATGCACCAAAACTATAAGAAAACACCACGCGCCACGGAATAATTAAAAGCAAGGATGTTGTTGCTGATGTGAGTCCAGTTTAGTCTGTGGTCACAGCGACCTCCAGCGACCATGCGTTTTTTCGCCCGCCTCATCAGCGCATGACATTAGTTGACTCCAAAAATTGTCCACGGAATTTCATCAAATATAAGAAGTACAAATAAAATATGCATGTAATCACGAAGTGTGCATCATTGGTTCACTTAATTTTAGTAATTCATGTGCTGATTTGAGGATTTATCAATAATTTAGCTCAAATGATTGTCTGATTATCTAAGAAAAGGAGACAATTCTTCACACGTAATTATGCAAGTCTTGGCCACGTGTTGTTCATTTAACATGTTGAATCCGTTGTGCGTGTGTTTAAATTGGAAGTTTAGGTCTGCCATGTACATGTAACTGTGTCAACGTGTAGTTCACTTAAGTAGGTGTTACCTTTTCCGGTTTTTTCTTTGCTTTTATAGTTTTAACAGGGTGTCTAATTATACACGGAGAATATTGGCTTGCAGTGCCCACAGCTTTACATCGATGCACATACACATATATAGAGTGTTCAATAGACACGACTCCATGACTTTGGGAAGTTACATATTTCAGTTAACTTGTGTCATCATCAATTTTGCGATTCCAGAGTCAACTACAGATGTCTGAGCCCTAAATAAGTCTGATATATTTTTCCCGAACACTATGTTAAACAAACCCAAAGACGCATTCGCTGTTGACTTGCCCCCCCCCCACACCAAAAGCTGGAATAGATACACCGCTTCCTTTGATATAATCACTGTACAATTCAGTCCTAGCTGTCCGAGAGCCCGTGAGAGCAAATTCAGTATAGTTTCCTTGAATAGGTTTCTAGGTGGGACCACCTAAATACCTGTATAGTTGCCTGACCTTTTGACGACCGTGCTTGCCTAGTTTAAGTGAACAGTCCTTTTTCTAATGGTATATCTGTATTAGTTCCACAATGTGTGCAGATATGAGCTATACGCACACATCGGTCTTACCGTAGGGTGCCACGCATACATATCCCGCCTTGATAAAGCAATCGCTGTTCCTCCATTGTCCCGAGCCCTCTGTTGAAAGCTGCACGCAGGCGTTGCTCTCTATCGGTAAAGTTGGATATTCACCGGCCCAGTTAGTGTAGTAATATAGCGAACCATCATTCCACTGGAACTCTGCCATATTAAAGAAGATACAAAAACGTTCTTTACCAGCAGTGGATGCTGGGGATGGGTTCATCTGCCGTGTGTCATCCATTTTCCTGTGACTATTTTAGGGAGATAATTAAATATATTTTCAATCCCCTTTTCCTCCCGCTTGTTTGGGTTTTCTTTCATTCGTGGCGCACCTACTTGTAAATGCCAAGCGGCCTGTTTTCAGTGCTGAGACATGCAAATGACATTTGCTTCAAATACCAATAAACATGGTTCCTTTCTAAACAGTAGTCATTGGCTTTTGTGTAAATTTCAGGATGTTTCAGATTAACAGATCATTGACCATCTTTTCAAGGAACATGCCCATTTCTTGTGGGGGTGCTACATAAACAATTTGACTGTGGGTTTGAATTCTCGACAACGGGCTCATAAGCTGGCCCTTTGTCAAGAATCCAGTCCCCCATTTAAGTAATCTATGAAGTACCTGCGTGTTAACTCCAGATCGACGATGGCAATTTAACAGCGTTGACACCAATGATGACGTATCCTTACCTCCGTCTTGGCAGAAAAGACCCAGCCAGATTTTGTTGACGTCCAAGACTGCGCTGGCATTGATCTGCAGGAAGGTGTTCACCTCTCTGCTCAGACTACTCGCCGGGAAGACGTTGGCTCCTCGCTGCTGGCACAGGACAAGTGCCTCCACGTAGCTAACCTCCGTGTTCTGGGTATCGAAGAAGAAGCATCTGTCGTCGACGGCGATCCAGCCTTTGCGGCAGTCACCAGACGGAGGGTCAGGGGGTGGCGGCTGGGGCGCTACAAATAGAAACGCCGAAATCCACAGTGAAGAGTCCAAACAAGCGACAGTTTCTCATGCAAGGTGTGAATATCGACTTTGCTTCTTGTTTTACAGAAAACCTTGTCACGGGAAACAGAATCATCGGTTGCGATGAAATCCTCCTCGGTTGTTTCGGAAAAGACAGTCATCATTGTGAAGTGCAGTCATGTCCCAGACTTTCCAAGACACAGCTCAGAGCAGGTGGTAATCCTGCTTAACATGAAATGATACTTATAGGAGTATTCCGGCTGAGCTATAGTGCCTTCAGCTCCGTTGCCAGCTTCGGTCATTGGAAGGGGACACAGTACTAGCTACGGGGCTCAACATAGGCACAATAGATAAATGTGATGCTTATTTTGCCGATCAGGGGCAGCTGCTCAATAGTAAAGGGCCTGATCAGTGTCTAGCACCCCGACTTAATTTTTTACCCAAAATGCAAACAAGCCTTCACTGACGAAAGGAGGGGAAGAGGCGAACAGCTATGCATATGTTTAACTATACCATAAAGCGAGTACGCATTGAGGCATGTGAACAACAAAATTTATTGTGACATCGTCTTTGGGCCTACCTGTTGTGATTTTGCAAACTGTAGGGTGCGCATAGCTGTAGCAATTGACATTGCGCCATCCTTCATGAGTCATGACAACGCAATCGTTCAGCACGTCGTTGGATCCAATCGGGTAGCCTTTAGCCCAGTTGGTGTACTGGACAGGCCAGCCATCCAACCACTGAAACTGCCCCATAGCCTGTCCGTAAAAAAAGAAGGGTGGCCTCAGAGTGACTGACTCGGCAGTGGAAAATTGACATCCATGCTGCAACTGAGTCGCTGTCCGTGTCAACCGGCTCCGGCCGAGGGTAAGGCACGAGTCTATGGGGAGCGGCTGCAGCCCTAGCAAGTAATTTCCATGGATGAAAGTATTATTTACTGCTACGGCCACAAACTAGGCCTGTGCTTTGAGTCTTGACGAATAATCTCTTGTCAGAACATACACAGCTCATCAGCCACATTACATCCTTAAAACCCGTCCAAAGTCTACATCCTGTTACGCTCCGCCCGATAAACTATTTCTTCAAAAGCTAACCGTCATGACAGTTCTTTTATTCCAATTGGTCGAAACGCGTCACGTGACTACGATGTGGCAATGCCTGCTGCGTATTAAGCACGCACTGGCACCTTGATACGAGACAGTTTAATCAATTCCGATTGGTCAAGAGTCTGTGTGGACCCGGCNACGCCAAGTCTATATATTAGGAGATTCTTCTGGACTACTTGAAAAAGGATTATACCATCAAAAGGAGGGGGTGTTTAGGAAAATAAAAGTAAAATTCTTAAACAAAATCCTTGGAAGTTTATCATATATTAATTTCCTTTGACTCTATGACTAAAATGTTATTTATGAATGGAGATAAATATGTAATTGATGGGCTTAAACGGCATGAGAATGAACGCTGATAATACAGTCGCCCGCAGCTCGGGCATTAGTCGCGTCCATTCTCCTGAAGACCAACCAAGCACATATTACATTCCCTTATTTCCTTGTCCACACTAATATTGGGGATTTCAAAGTCTGACGGTTATTTGCGCTCTTACCCCTCTCCTCATCCCAAGCCACGCGCTGTCAACGCCGAAGTACGACATGACCATCCCAACGAAGGCCTGTTCGTAGGCGTCGCCAAGGGACGGCAGATATGCCCCGTCCTCCTCGCAGTCAGCCACGGCGTTGGCGTTGGAGGAGTTGTATGTAAAGACTCTGAAGCAGGAATCTTCGTACTTGTGGTAATTCAGCTTTACAGGGCAGGGTTCGTAGGGGACAGGCTGCGGGTTTCCTTTGGTATCTTAAAGGAAGAGGAAAGAAGGAAGACAAAAATGACACCTGGATGAGAAACCTGGATAAATAAGAGGTGGTCTTCATCACCACAATTGTATAGTCCAGTTTATTCCAACCTTTGCCGAATCAAATCAAAAACCAACTTGAAATCCTCAGACCCAGGGGTGTGTTCCTCACCAGTTTTATACACTTTCCACTGAAGAATTGTTTGCAGATCCTAAGGGCAACAACTGGTCTAGTGACATGATTCCAAACCACGTGCGAGTAGTTCACTTCGAATGACACAGTTTCTTTAAAGTGAAGTTTCAATTAAAGGTTAACACAAAATGAAAACATTTAGTTAACGTGAAGTATTTCAAAATAACAATAAAAACGTAACCATTTCAATCATAAATTCAATGTTTACCCCATTAATCGTGACCCCAATTTAAATAAAATGATCCTGCATTTCCCCGCCCACAAAAGATTCCCCTTTTGGCCGTTCGCGCTCCCAGGCGGATTTGATGACGTCATCGGCAGAACGCCTACATGTACAGTGTACATGTACATTGCATGATTGCAGACAGTATATGCAGAATCGCACGCTTACAATAGATGACGTTGTGTTCGATGTAGCTTGGCCCACAGGCAAACACTGTCTCGGTTCAAGGCAGAAATTAAAAGATACAGACCCAACGTGTATTTCATGAACTGAAACAGTGTTTGCCTGTGGGCCAAGCTACATTGAACACAATTTCGTCTGTTACAGGCGTGCGATACTGCATGCAAGCTTGCTGTGTGGTCACGTTAATTAACGAGATTTTTACAACAAAATGCCACTGTAGGAAGCATGCCGGTAATACATTATGATAGGCACCTGGATTACGTAGCAGCTTATAATAGAGCAGCCCATTTCTGGTCGCGTGCGAGTAAGAAGGAATAGTATGTAGGATGTTTGTGCTTTGGATTCTGGAAGATAATTTATTGTTTTGGGATTTGTTTCCTAATTGAAAAACCTTGGTTTTGAAACTTTTTTGAAGTCCTGCCAACATTTGCAACGCTGACGTTTGTTTTGTTCGCGAACTATCGTCGACAAGTCCCGATTATTAGCGTTACGATGATAATTCACTTTTAATGTTGGCATTTTAATGTGGAGATCACACTGATCAAGGTGGGAGTAGTCCGATCAGGTGTTTGTGTGGAGTCTGTATTGCGGTGGTTTTATTTTCTGGAACTCTCATTTTTTTTCCTGGAGGTTATAGTACTCGATGAAGAAGGCTATTCTCACCAAGTGGCATCTCGCATATGAAACCGTTTTCCTTTTCGCAGTCGACATCACTCCACTTCCCTGCGTAGATTGGATTGTTGGACAACTGGGCGCAGTAGTTTACCTGAGGGCACGCAGGAGTCAAACAACGAAAGGAGTGAGGAATTCGAAAAGCACGGTATAATCAATAAAATCTGGGGAAACGACTGGCATTGTACCCGAGGCCTAAGAAAAATTTGGGAGCGACGAAACATTTTCAGATCCCACAGAAACACCACGTACGACTTCTTATGCAGAGCTGTGGCATATATTTTCATATGTTCAACGTGGGGAACGCTGTCCGCTGGGTATCCAGGTCTTGGGTCCAGGGGGGAAAAGTGAAGTGCCTTTCCGAAACTTCCTTACCTTGTTATCGCCGTCTTGTTGAAAAGGGCCGTTTGGTTCTCCCAGCGCCCAGTTCGTGAAGTCCACCGCTGAGCCGTCGGCCCAGTAGTACTGATCGAACTTTCCGAAGCGACTCAATCCAATCCAGACGTCGTTTTGGATATTTTTCAAAGGAAAGCTGAGAAGCCCTGTTGCAGAAAACAATGTTGGACAAAGAAATAAAACAACTTGAATCAATTTATCAGATTACAACTTCATATTTTCATAAATCTTGGGTATTCAACAGCTGGCGTAAGTGTGAAATTTCCAGTTACAATTATCGAGGGAAACAGGTTGCAAAACATTAATATTTCGAGGAAATTTATCAATTAGAGTTATCAGAAAGCAACCTTTAAGAGACGCACAGTTTCAATTGCCTGTGAGTGTTGGTCAAATAGCAGTGAACACTGATTCCATTGGTTTGACGAGTGTACCTTGAACACCTTGGCTGTGGATTGATGCAAGCTGTCCTGAACGGAACTGACATTCCTTGTGTGCTTCGATCCATGTCTTGGGCTCAGCCATGGACCTCAGATCATAACATCTTCAAAAGAGAAACAAACTATAAAACATTCTGTGACATGAACCCAAGGATCTCGTTTCCTCTCCTAATCACAACCAATTTTCATCTTTTTTTCCCACTGAGATACTCATGAGCCAAGTTCAGCGTGATCTATGGAGAGCTTTAGAAACGGTACTACTCAAAGGAAAAAAAAAGTCCTTACCTTCAGTAGTGAAATCAATTGGTACTGACTGACCTGACCTTACACCAGTCCGAGAATGTTCAGTGCCTGCGAGTTGGCCGTTTTTATTGGCTCAACCTTCTGCGCGTATCAAGGGGTCCATAATCACACAGGGTCCAAATTTCATATTACATCTGCACACATCATCAAGAACGAACCTGTCTTTTAGCTTGTAAGTGCCTTCGAAGCATTCTCCCTCTGGTGGCTTCTGGGTGACAATGATGGGCTCCGTGTTCCTTGTATCCCACTTACAAATGTAGGGTCGTCGTAAACCACAGTTATGGTCCTCCCATTGTTCTACAGATTGGAATGAAAGGTGGGAGTGATTCGTTGACTTTGAAATTAGTTTTTTAGGATTGTGTTTCTTGGAAGATATTGTGCGTGTAACTATTCTTTAGAGGTAGTTGTGTTTTCTGGAGTTCTAGTCGTTGTCCACAAACAACTGAATTCAAAGTTTAAGGGGAATACCCAGAAAACTGAAATTAGGCAGTCAAGACGAAATAAGGAAAATGAAGGATTTTAGAAATAAAGAAAAAGTAAAAAATAAACAACACAATAAAGACTGAGGTGAGTAAACGCAAACGTCTTATGCACTCATAAAACGACAAGAACCGTTCTGCTGACCCCTATAAGGTCAGAATGGAAAGCATTAACCGCATGGAGGGATGTGTGGGTGCTACTTGTATTTCTATCATTCGCACGGATGTCAAATTAAAAAAGTATGGACACAAAATACCTTTAGTCAGCCCACAAAGGCCACTGAAGCCACCGGCGACCATCTTACCAAGTAACACAAAAACTTGCTCGCCAATGTTAACCATATCGTTCCTGGTATTTGTAGTTACAATGGCAAGCGAGCCAACGATCAACGTTGTATTCGGCACGGTACGATGGCCACCGTTGGCTTCAGTCGATACAAGAGCACTGCGAGTCCATTTTTGATTTTTTTATATGACGTTTGTGACCATGGGCCCACGTTCAGGTGCACAGATCAAAATGTTACTAAGCGCATCCTATACCAAGCCGCATTGGTCCCAACGGAGGGCATGCAAAGGTTTTTTAGTGGTCCCCTTGAGTATTTTAATTAAACAGCACCATCCGAATGTCATAATAGTAAAACCCCATTATATTGGATAAAGAAAGTACAGCCCTTGTTGCTTATTCCCTCTTGGTGAATGTTTTACCGTTCTCATTGATAAGTGCACAGTATTCCATGTTGTTGTTATTCGTTGGGTCATCTGAGGACCACTCGGCAGTTTTCGGATCATATTCAGTTCCATCCGACCATCTGCATAAAAAAAGGTTAACCACAGTAATAGACAAGATGCTGAGGGACAACCGTGCGTGACTGGCAGACACCAAATAACTGAGCTTTTCGTTATGTGACCATGCATCCCAAGTAGATCACGCGCCAAACTGAGTAAGGTTCACACAGTTGTGGTCCAGTCGATCACATTATGCCAAATCACGAGTCAGGTTACACATCAGTTCAAAAAGGCAACAGTGGAATTACTACACCGAAGGACAGACAGGAAAGCGAGTTGGCAGTACATTTTAATTTCGCGGTGTCTTAATGACTTGAGGCTGGATGATCTGTAACTGACTGGTCATGACTTTTGTTGATGATTTGATTATCAAGGAAGATTTAAATTTAGAGACGTCGCAGGAAACTCCAAACTCATTCTGAAAAAAATGTATTAAATAAATACAAGTACCCCGGTAAGGGTGAATCAGCTGATCATAGCTCAATTCTTGTGAGATTACACATATTGTGTAATAATAGAAGTCCGGTTATGTCAAATAACGTGTGGTTGTACTGTACGTGGCTGAGGAAGATCTGTACATATTTGACAGCATATAGCTTTTAGATGCTCTAAACGCGCATTTTGTGGCGGACCAATTCTCTCCATGTTGAAAATCTGGAGAGATCACTGGCTGATAGTGAAGTCACTATTTTCCCTTTTACATTTTTGTAAAGTCTTTTTTTCAATGGTGTGAGTGGTTGAGGTTGGTTCCCTCTTATTCGGGAACCAACGATTGGCTTCACTTATTTGTACAAATCGGAATGGCTAACGAGCAATCAATATGGAGACGTCAGTGATTCATCTTTTTCTCCAGGCCAACATTCTGAGGACTTCTTAAAATCTCCACTGCTCTATTGTTTTCCTCAAGTTGCCAATTATTACGTTTGAAACAAACATAAACCCCTGTCTTGACATGTGTATCAGGGTTTTCTGATCTGATAATGGCAAACAATAACCGCGAAAAAATCCAAAAGTAATACGGGCGTTTCACAATAGTGCGCCACAAAGAGATTGTAACGCGTTGACCAATCAAAATGCGCGAAATTTGTCGACCCAATGCGCGTTCGGAAAGGGTCGACAAATTTCGCGCGCTGTGATTGGCCAACGCGTTGCAAACTCATGATGGCGCACTATTGTGAATCGCCCATATTGAGTGACTACAAGCCTTAGGAGACTTACATCCAGTTGCCCGCAGATGCCATATTATTCAGGCCGATCCAGAAGGATTCTGTCTCACGACCAATCTAGAATCATGCAAAGTAGGGAAACACACATCAGAGAACTCCTGTATAATTTCGAGAGACAGAAGCATCCAGCGTTCTGATCTAGTTCATCCCCAGTCCATCTGAAATCATCTGGTCTTACAGGAACGGCTGTACAAAGCATTCCTTTTCAATGCTCACCTGCACACTATGACTGAGCTTGCGATAATACTTGTGATAGACTGTACTATATCATAGGTGTCTTAACAAAGAAGGCATAACTTACTTTACGTTGAAACCGACTAAAGCAGTCATAAAACACCACCCATGGCAGACCGAAAATGTGGGAAATGTCGCTGATCTGAGTAGGTTACAGATAGCTTCAACTTGGTTTAATACTCACAAGGCTCTTGATGTACTCCCGCTCGTCGCCCACATTCAAAGTGGTCAGGTGACCTTTATTCAGATTACACCATTGTTCAGCTTCTTCCCAAGTCAGCCAGCTGTCTCCGTTATCTGCTTTGCTGACATAGTAGCATAAACCCAACCCAAAATACCAGCCGTCGGGACCTGTAGGATGAGATCGATCATACCTGAATTCAACACTGAGCCTGAGATGTCTTTCCGGGCAATAAAATCGGTACAAGTAAAACTCTTCACTTTTATGCCGGTTAGTTTTCCAAAAGTGAAAGTAGCCTGAGAGACATGTAAACAACTGCTGATTTGTCCATAAATGAATGTTTCACATGTGATCATCATAACCAATGAAGTAGTAAGGATAAGTACGTGAAAGGTCAATAAATGCAGGTAAACTCACATGGATTTTCTGGGCCAGGTACTGCAGAAACGGGAGAAAGATTAGAAAAATTTTATTTGGTTACCTTCTCACAAAATTTGTGTAAGATGTCATTTTGTATGAAATACTGAGCGAGTGTTTTCAGAATGATTTTTGCGTGTATCAAACGTTATCAGAAAACTTTTTCTTTTGAAATTAGTAGCATGTAGATAAAAGTAGCAGCTCATGACGANTTTTTTGGCGGGGGGGGGCGTGTTCTTTCGTTTAATTCAAATAGCATAAAATGACAGCCGAATCAGGAACTCAATTAACGGTGGCTGATCTCCGCCAAGAATACACTTTTTTATTTTACGGCGTTATAACGCGCTAATTTATGGCGTAATAACGCCCTATTTTAAGGCATTATAACGCCCTATAGAGCGTAAAAACGCTCTAATTTGGGGCATAACGCCCTAAACTCAACCGTAATAAACGCCCTGTTACGGCGTAATAACGCCGTATTTTAAGGCATAATATCGCCCTATTATGGCGTTATAACGCCCTATTTCGACTTGTAGCGCCCTTAACATGTTCCACTCCTTGAAATACCCGCTGCCTTTGTACAGTCTATAGACGGGGTATAGGTCCTACCTTTGTCATTAAATATGAAGACGAGGTAACGTCAGTATAACGCCGTAAAAACAGACCATCATTTTCACGCCTTAAATCAGGGACTTATAACGCTATAGGTCTATTACGGTGTTATAACGCCATAATAGGGCATTATTACGCCCTAAAATAGGGCGTTATAACGCCGTAAATAGGACATTATTACGCCGTAAAAGGGCGTTTATTACGCCTGAAATTAGTGCGTTATTACGCCCTAAATTAGGGCGTTATAATGCCCTAAATTAGGGCGTTATAGTGCCCTAATAGGGCGTTATTATACACCTTAGAAGAAAAAAGTGTCTTCCTGGCGGAGACCAGTCACCGTGCAATAACATGTTGTGCTGTGTGGTGGATCTGATGTGTGGTGTATAGCTCATCAGACACATCACGCATGTGAAGACAAACCCCTTTTCAGCAAAGGGGACGAATTGTCCTGTAAAGATCTGCTTGAACAAGTACTGTTCCTGTCATGTTAGAATTCATTTTCAACAATGTCGACCTTAAGTTGTCGTATTTTCAGTCGTGTGAAATGTTGATGTGAATACATCACTTTGCTTCTTCGTATTTAATACTTGCATTTTCTCATCAGTCACTTTCTTCACAGTTTAATGTTACATTGAGGCTTTCTTCCCGGGATAGCATTACAGTTGCACTCATGAATATGGATATACTCGTTATGATGAAAGCAAAAAAGGTAATGAAACAACCTTTGAAATACTGAAACAAACGTTGGAAGTAAGGGTAAGTGAGACAGAAAGGTGCAGTTTGAAGGTTTGTATTAAAACGACTTGATGGCAGCTATATCTATATATCATATGATTACACCATCCTCTATGCGCGCCATTTCACATTATCAGTCTGAGTAAAAGTCTGAGTAAAGCTGTAATAGGTGATAGGTACATTGAGTATTGCATGACCTGTGTTCAAGATAAGATCACGGAGTGGAAAGTGTGGTGGTTCTAATAAGCATAACATCAGTTCCCGAGCGCAGTATTGTCAGAGACTTGATCACCGGTCCAAAGCACAGATCAGAATGATGATGTTCTACAATCCTGGCCACAATTGTTGGGGCACGTATCAATAGACATACATGTGTAGTTACCCTCACCAGGTCCCTCAGTCCCCGCAGTCAATGTTGTCATCTCGCCGGCCGTGGGCATCGACACCTAACATCAACACTGAGAGGGGGGCCGGGGCCCAACGAGATTTATCCAGGATTATAGTTTACGAGAAGCAAGAGCGGATGTGCTCAGGCTTTGACGTTGAGGTTGAATGACCTGTGACTGACTAGTGATGAATATCTTTCGGTGATTATATTCAAAGAAGACATAACTTCATGAAGTGGCAGGAAACCCCAAACCCAGTCTCACGATATAGGTATGCGTAGCTAATAATGATAGGCTACATCATTGGACCACAGACTTTTTCCTCTGATCCTATACAGGTGCAATGATAAAGCTTCTGATTATGTCAAGCAAGTGTATGTACCACACGTAAACATCAAGTTGATACTCAACACATGCATATCTGATGCGGACCATGGATCTCCATGTAAGAAAATATCTCAATATCTCTTGTGTTTACAGAGACGTCAGTTTTCTCTTCACAGTACTTGTAAAGATTTTTGATGGAGGATGTGGTTGAGACTGGTGCCCTATTACCCATTACATGGGAAGGGTTGGGAACCAGCAAAGGCTTCACGTGTTGGTAGGGCATACAGTTTTGAATGGACAATAAGCTATTAAGAAGGGGTAGCAGTGATTTGGACTTCCTACATGTATCTCTTTCTCAAGCCTAACATTCTGAGGGCTACTTATTATCTCTCAGTTTTCCTTAGGCTGCCAGAGTTTTCTTTTGAATCAAACACAAAAATCCTTTACTATGTCTCAGAGTTTTCGGATCTTGTGATGACAAAGGAGAGTCGCATTTAGCGACTACAAGCCTCAGGAGACTTACATCCAGTCGCCCGCACAAGCCATGTTATTCAGGCCGATCCAGAAGGATTCCGTCTCATTGCCAATCTAGAATACCATGAAGATTAAGGAAACACACATCAGAGAATTCCTGTGATTTCAACAGAGAAAAAGTCATCCAGTCTTACATTAACTACTGTACAAAGCATTCCTGTTTATTCAATGCGATGATCTCGTATGACTGGTCTTGTGAAAAGACTTGTGATGGTATCGACTGCACCACTGGTATCAGAAAGAAAGCGTAAGCTACTTCACGAAGCAGTGGAAAAAATACCACGTGGGCAGACTGGGGATAGGGCTAATGGGACATTTTACAAAGTATGTAAGAGATAGCTTCAACTTGGTTTAATACTCACAAGGCTCTTGATGTACTCCCGCTCGTCGCACACATTCAAAGTGGTCAGGTGACCTTTATTCAGATTACACCATTGTTCAGCTTCTTCCCAAGTCAGCCAGCTGTCTCCGTTATCTGCTTTGCTGACATAGTAGCATAAACCCAACCCGAAATACCAGCCGTCGGGACCTGTAGGATGAGATCGATCGTACCTGAACTAAACTACGGGAGCAAACGGAAATAAGGTACGCAGATCTTTTTAGCCTGAGATGTCTTTCTGATCAACAAAACGGGTAAGAATTAAAATCAATTTCAAATGCAGTTATTTTGCCCAAAGTGAAAGCAGCTTTAGAGACATATAAACACCTGCTGATTTGTCTATAAATGGATGTTTCACATGTGACCACCATAACCAATAAAGTAATGAGGATAAATACACGAAAAGTAAAGAAATGCAGATAAACTCACATAAACTTTCCGGGCCAGGTACTGCAGAAATGGGGGAAAGATTAGAAGAATTTATTTAATTACCTTTCTCACAAAATATGTGTATATGTCATTTAGTATGAAATACTGAGCGAGCGTTTCCAGAATAATTGAGTGTTATCAGAAAATGAAAAAAAAAATCGAGACTTGGGTCTAATTTAGGAAACATATATACTTGTGACTTTGCTTAATTAAACAATGACTTGGCCACAATACTGCTACACAGGCTTGGTATTAAAAGACAAGTTAATTAACCTACGTGTGTTAGTTTCACAGACGAGGCCGGCCAGTTTAAAGCAACTTTCGTGTTGCCAATATCCAGAATCGGTTTTCAGACTGACACAGTCATTGACATCGCCGGTTGGATTAGATTCCCAGTTGACGTTGTTGATGACTCTGCCGTCTTGATAGACATAGTATCCTGCGAAAAAGACAAGAAAAGAAAGCGGTTAATAGATAAAACGAGCATAAGGATTACGTAAAGAGTGTCAGTACGGTGTTGTGTGTGTCCCACTCATATTGATAAAAGGGGTATGAAAAGGTACTCTGTCACTTGAAACTGATAACGTTTTGTTTGGCCAACAAAACTCCAAACAATTGTAAAAAAATTGCGTTTTCTTTGCATAGGTTGTTTCTTAAATAACGGAGACTATATTATAAAGTATTTGCTGTTTTCGCCATGTTCAAAAATACCACCACAGTCAACGAATCCAGTGTTAGACCAACGATTGTGTTCAGCGGGTTTCTTCCTTCTTACTTGCCATCTCGATAATCGTCAGTGACTACTAACCCTCTGGTGATTTGTTCAATCCTAGCCATACATTCCTGTTGCCAAGACTTTTGAGAGCCTCCTGTTTAAACCCGTAGTTGGCATAACTGCTGTGAATTCCTGGCAAGGTGGCGTTGTATCTCCGAGCACATTCAGCCTGGGCCTGGAGAACAAAAAATAAAACTCATCAGGTTTACCTTTTCTAAAAGTTTGGTTTGATTTAAGAACCAACAGCATCAACAACGTACAAGCAGCAAGGGGTAATAGATCCCGACATGAAGGTGTGAAAACAAAGATGAAAAGGCTGCTTGTCATTGGCCTAGATTGGTACTTGGTTGTCAGGGCATGGTCAGGGAGAGATGGGTTGGCACGCAATGGTAAACACTGCAGTGTGTTGTGATAGGCAGTGTCAATGGCAAGGATTGTAATCGTCCAAAGAATCTTGATGAAAGGGCTTCAGTCTAATGTCCAAGTCTGTGGACCTCACCTCTGACGCTGTGAAGTGAATCTGGGGAAACTCTGCTGACAGTGTGTCAAAATTGTAACAAT